CGGCCTCGCGCGCCCCCGCCTCGCGTCCCTCCGTTCCTTCTGCTTTTACTCTCTCTCCCCTCCCGCGCGCCCCGTTTCCCCCGCCATCCCCGCTTCCACTCCCGGCCTCCCGCCCGCCATGCGTCCCCTCCGCTCCTCTCTAGCGCCCCCCCCCCCGACCCTCTCCGCCCCCGGGGGCGCCCTCGGGGCGTGGGGGCCGCTCCCCGCGCGCAGGGCCGGGTCTCCTGGCCGCCGGGGCCCCCGGGGGGTCCGCAGGGTGCGGGCGGCGCGAGGGTTTTTCTTTATGTAGGTGAAGGGCTCGGCAGCGCGGAACCTGGCCCCTTTATTCCGTCGCCCTCCCGCCGGGGAAGGGAATTGTCCCCGCCCGTGTGGGCGCTTCTCTTCTGAGCTGAGTAGCGACTCAGCTGCCCCTGACCCCGCGGGGCTCCCGGGACGCCCTGCGCGTGCATCCCAGCTCGGCGCCTGGGGGTCGTCGGGACTGGGACCGGCCCTCCCCTAGCCACTCCGGGACCTAGCGTCCTTTCTGCCGCCCCGCCCGCGGCTGCCCCGAGGAGCGAGCCCCGCTGTGGGCGCCCTGCGCCAGCCCGGGACAGCCTTCCCCTCCGTGAAGGCTTGCTCGCCTCTTCGCACTCTTTCCAGACACAAGGTGTTAGCGCCCAGGGCTGGCGCCGCGGTGGAGACAGAGGCCCTGATGGCGGGTGGGTGGCATGTGCGTGTTCGCCGAGCCAGCTCTCAGCCTTTTCTTCTGCTGTCATCCGGAGAACCGGGAGTTTTCTCGTTTCCGATGCGTGGTGGTGCGGAGGGCTTTTGTGTGCGCGTGGGAGAGCTGGGGGACGCTTACTATATGTTTCGGCGAAGGGGAGGCCACACTGCAGCGCGAGCTCTGGGTAGCAGCAGCTGGGGCAACGCGGTTTGCACAGATTCGCGGGGAAGAGCTGGGGCTTTTGAGTGTTTGAAACATTTTTATTTCTAAGAATTTAGTTTTGGATAGACAGTGCGTGCATGTGATACACGGTGAATTCTTCCCTTCCGCCTGTGCTTCTTCGCAGTCCTCCTCCCCGTCCACTGATGTCCCATTGTTTTCTGGCAGCAGCAGCAGCGGTGTCTGTGTGTTGGAGGTTAGTTAACCTGTTGGGGTGTTGAGTGCTGACTGCACTGCTTTCTCTGGGCTGCACTGAGCTGAACTCTTCCTAGAAGTCTCCTTCACGTGCTTGGTGCCGGAGCCCTGCGGATAGAGTACCGTTCTGGAGTACCATTCCCGTCCGCGCCGCGCCGGGTGAAGGAGGCTGCCTCTGGGGCTGCTGCAGGTGGTGCTGTGGAGGGCTCCGGTACGTGTGCAAGGAGGGCCCCCCATCTGTGCCGCTCCTTTGGTGACGACACCTAGTCACCGTTTGGGGATGGGCTGGGCCCAGCGTCCTCTTTCCTTGGGCGTTCTGAGCGGGTAGGTCGCCGGAGTACCGAGGTGGTGGTAGCGCTGTCTTCCGTTTGTAGAGGAGCGAGGGTTCTAGCCTAGCGGCCGAGGTAGTCAGCGCGGTGAGGAGCACAGCAGACGGCTGTTGACCAGTAGGAATCAGAACCCAGACCTGCAGGCTGAGTGACCCAGTTTGAGAAGCGGTGAGGCCCCTGGACTTCTGTCCTGTTTATTCCTTACTTGACAACATGTCCCTGGAGTGACAGGGACCCGTAGCTGGCAAGCAGCATCCGTCTTTACCACACTGTGGTCTGCCTCCCCTGACTGTGTGACGGCTGTTAACTTCCTGTTTAGAGGCAGCTCGAAAAGGGTCTGAATAGAGGCTGCCTTCACATCCTTGTTTAGGGTCAGTGTTGACCAGGTTCCCTCATCAGCCCTTTACATCTGCGTTCTGGCGGTGACTTTCACTGCTGTGTTAGCATAAATCGGGCCGCGGGGTTGGGGAGGGAAGAAGTGAAGATTTTCTCTGAACTTCATAGTCCCAGAGTTCATTGAAGTGCTGCTTGTCTCACCCCCTTTCCCCTTCCTCCTCTCCTTTTTCCCGTTCTTCCTTTCTTTAATGGTTGTTTTTCTTTTCTTTTTTTTTTTTTTTTTGGACAAGTGTTTCTAACCCGCTACACCCTTCCTCCCCGCTGGTTGGGCCTGGTCAGACCTTCAGGTTGGTTGGAATTTGGTTACAGACCTGCAGCATGTAGGGTGGGGTCAGTGTGTCAGTAGTATTGTCCTCCTGATCTTATGCTGGGTCCTCCGGATTCATCCTGGCTTCAAGGAGTGTGTTGTATGTAAACCAGGCCTCTTGTTTCAGTTTACCGTTCCTTCCTTCCTCACCTTCCCCACCCACCAGGCTGGAGGTGCGCGTGTAGGGGAGCAGCAGTTGTTTCGGGACTTTGGAGTATATTCCATGTTAGCCAACCCACTGGGACAAGCATGCTGACAAGCAGCCCTCTGCACTTAGAATGCTCGTGTTCCTGGGCTCATTGAGAAAAGCCAAGCCAACTTTGATTGATTAACACAACTGCTAGAGAAAGTGTAAGGTTTGAGCCATAACTCGGACGAAGGAATTTTCTTTCCCAGACCGTTTGCAGTATTGAACGGCATCATAACACATCAAGGTCCGGTAGTCAGGCATTTTCTGAAGCAGTTTGGAGGGGAGGGAAGAAGAAAAAAAAAAAAAAAAAGACACACCCAGATTGACTATAAATCTAGCCCTGGCGTAAAGCTGTCCACCTCTTGCTCAGGAAAAATCCAACCTATCAGACAATGCCACACAAAGTTGCAGTTCGCCTGCATTGGCTAAGCTTGGGAAAAGATGCATGAGGAAGTTCAGTTTTTGTTGAAAAGGGCTGGCTTTTCGGGGGGAGAGCTTCTCTTAGCTGTGTTGTTTAGTTTATCCTCAGTATTCTATTTCTGCGATACTTTCTGCAGATCTTGGTGGCTCCAGAGTCCATAGAGCAGAGACCCCTGTATTCAGGTGGTAATGATGAAAACATTGGAGGATAGATCTGATTTGAAATGCTTCCTTTTCATGTTGCATCTTTTACTCTCTTGCGGATGTATGAAATATTCCTGTGTAGTTTTTTGAGTTCATTCAGTTGGAGAGCAGTGACCCAGGGTGGTCAAAGAGCTTAGCCCATCTTTTACACTTCTTAGCTGGTGTCTCTCTCAAATCCTTTAATCTTTGTCTTACATTGCCATTAACTGGCAAGAAGCTATCAAGAGTTTTGGGTTATTGTACCAAAAGCAACAGGTGAATAAGAACACATATTTTGTTACTTTTGAGGTGTGAGACTGGTCAAATCCCAGACCTCAAAGGGTTCTAGTAATTGCGGAAGCAGCTTTGACAACACGTGAATTTAATTGTTACGAACCAGTAAACTATTGACAAAAAATGACAACACTTCCACATTCCTGAGCCATTTTCTCCTTGATTTTCACAGATAGTGTAAAAACATACACATTTTGAAAATAATTCAAGTTATCATTACTTGAATCTGAAAGTCGTGCTTTAAACCTCTTGATGAAAAGTTTCTTGATCTTGTCTCATTTTGGGGGAA